AGTGTGGCCTAAATAAGGTAAGGGAGGGGGGTTTAGCTTATTTAGGCCACAGTGTGGCCTAAATAAGGTCACCCTTATTACAATGACAAGCTAGTCTTGACGTAGATCTATGTAATGAACTGTGCGCTTGTCTATGGAATCAGAAGTTGCCGTATGCTAGGCTCTACACTGCAGCACTGCAGCACAACTTTTTGGTCAACAATCGAGATGACACAGGCGTGTGCATTTGAACGAATCGGTCTTTTTTTTAATTTTTTTTTTTACATAGCTCATAATATTAATATTATAATATGCAGGCTTTTCAGGCACGACTTTACTACGTGTGACTTCTCTTTATACTTATACTACTACATTACTTGCTCAGTGTCTGTAACTATCTACACAAAAAAACTCGTGTTTGCTATAACTTTATCATTAAAACGAACACTCGAATTCAACGAGATTTTAGGTTAGGTCAGGCCTGGCGACCTCGCTGAATCCGAGTTCCACTGTAACTTGTAACAATCTAATTTAATCTAAAGAACCAGAATTTCTTTTGCTCTGTTTTAAGCATCCAGAATATTTTTTGTAGACTTAGTGTAAAAACGTGATAAATAAAGGTTTCACAACAGACAGAATGAAATGAAATCAAAATTAAAACAGCACTACAGCACACAAACAACCGCAAAAACGAAAAAGTAGCAAATAAGTAAATAAGCTGTCCTCAGAGAAAGTTGCATTTGAAAGTATAAAAAAAGTTGCAAGAAAAGTTGCATAGCTTGTATAGCTAAAACAATGCCAAGCAGAGGCGAAGCGTCTATATAATCAAATAATCACTGCTTCCCTTCCTAATTTTGAAACATTGTCGCAGTCAAATTCACCCATAGACGTAAACCTCATAAATTAAATGTAAAAAGACGTTCATAATCACCAATGAACAATAGACTATGCCTAACCTTCAAAACCGTTTCATTGCCACAGAAATAGCCTGTTCGCCCCTATCGGGCCACTCCATACGCAGTCACAAGCTTTGATTAAGTAAGCTTAAAGTGAGGCTGGAAGAGTCAACCAATAGATTTGAAGGGAACATGTGCATAGCAGTCAGAACTGTTTCATTGTCGCATATATATACCCTGTTCACCCCTTTCGGGCCACAGTTATAAGCACCCAGACGCGCTGATTATCTAAGCGAACTATTACACTGGTCGAGTCTACCTCACAGATGTGAGGGGAACTAACTCCTAATAATCCTTTGGCTCCTGCTACTACACTGCTAGTGCTTGTTTTTTTCCTCGACTTTTTAACATGCTGTCTGCAGAACCGATACCGGTATTTAAAGTTATGGCCTTGAGTTCTATCAATGCTACAGTTTCTTTCCTTTTAAAGTCGTAAAATCTCCCACTATCGATTTAAAACCCTAATAGTCAAGGAATTGTTTTTCAAAAGTCATACAGTTTATCAAGAGTGAAATTCCCAAAAATCTATATTTTTTCCTTAAAAACAATTTTGTTTGGTGTTGTCGCAGATACGACACTCTTGCTTTGTACTCCCGAGTTATGACACATGCGCGACAAACAATAAATTACAACACCTTTGTGAGAATGAGTCGAAACTGAAGTGTTTATTTATACTCAAGTGGGTCATGTTACAAAATTATGGGCCAGTTTGATCCAAGCTATTGATGTACACTCGTGATATCCCCCTTATTTCAAAAGTCGTGAAAAATTAAAGACAGCAGCCCTGGAACCGATATTATTTAATTATAATAATAATGAAAATAATAATAATAATAATGGAACCGATATTATTTAATAATAATAATAATAATAATGGAACCGATAGTATTTAATAATAATAATAATGATGATGATGATAATGATAATATTAATAATGGAACCGATAGTATTTTATAATAACAATAACAACAACAATAATAATTTATAATAATAATAATAATAACAATAATAATAATAATGATGATGATAATAATAATAATAATAATAATAATAAAATGATAACAATAATAATAATAATAATAATAATAATAACAATAATAATAACAGCATTTATATAGCCCATATCCACGCTCTGCAGCATGCTGTATGCGTTTTACAACAACTACATGTATTATTAGTATTACCTCAGCGTACCCTAGAACACCCAGGAACATTCTTGGCTTCCAGAGAAACATACAGTGCAAACTGTGGAGTGCACGCGTTCAAGCACTAACAAACTGACAAAATGCATGTATTTCGCTGTCCATAACCTGGGTGCAGTTAGGAACATTCGTGGGTAATCATAGTGTACTGCCTTTCTCAAGGACACACCGTTAGGCCCCCGACGGGATTCGAGCCCACAACCTTACGGTTGCGAGTCCGAGAGCCTGATGACAACATGACCGTATCAAATACATGTGTCCAGTGGTGAACTATGAGCGTCTATGGTTTAGCGGTTAGGGTCTTTCCTGTCACACTCAGGAGACCCGAGTTCGATTCCCGAGTTATCGAGTATCTCGGTCTTTCTGTTGGGATGCTGTTTCCTCTCATCCTGGGTTGCATCTGACAGGCAGGGTCAGAAGCCGGCCTCCTAATTGATCTAAACTGTTTCGATTGGAGCGTAAAAACATAAATATAAAACGGTGGCACTAGTTTTACATGAGAAATAAAACTAATTCATCTTTATGTGAGAGGTGTAACTCTGATGAAAAGGAAGATACATTTCGTTTTATTTTTTATTGCCCACATTTTGCCCATCAAAGAAAATTGTCAATTCCTCCCAGCCTGACTGGGCCCAGTGACAGAAATAATATGCAATGTTTGATCCATGAAAAGAGATAAGTGCACAACCTGTACTTTTTCATAATGGG